GGGCATCCTGCTCTGAGAAGCAGCCCTCAGGGCTGAAGAAGGAGCTCTCCTCCTCGCTGAGAAAGACCGAGTGTTCCGACCTGGGAAGGACACGGCGCTGCATTCAGTGAGATGTCCCCGAGAGATTGCACCAGAACACTGCCTGCAGGCCCCCTTCCCTGCTCCTCAATCCCCTAGACACAGGAGGACACAGAAATAAAGACCAAACAGAGCCTGCCTTCAAGGAGTGCCCACGGGGCAGGAACAGGAGAGGCTGGGGCCATGGCTCCCTGGGTTGGTGAACTCCTACACAGCCTTCAAAGCCCCACCTCAAATGCTTCCTCACAGCCCCTCACACCAGCTCTGCTGGAGCCTCCCACAGCCCAAGGGACCAGGACCTAGGCATTCAGCGGTCAGCTGCCCGAAGAAAGAAGCAGGGGGAGGGGAGGGAAGGCAGGGACAGGAAATAACGGGTGGGAGGAGGTGAACTTTGCTGCCAGGACTCAGTTAGCCAAGCGCAAACTTGAAACCGTGAAATGCACTTTGGAATTCAGTGTGAGCCCTCAGGGAAGGTTCCAGAAAATCCTGCATTCCCAGGACAGTCCCAGAGCTGCAGCCTCGCCTCTTTGGCTAAAACAGTCCGTGGCACCCAGACGGGTGTCCTTCCAGGTTAAGGGAGGGGGCACACCAGCTCTCTCCCACTGGCTCTTCTAGCTCGGGTCTCGGCCACTTCAGGGATATTGGAGTTGCCTAGACAGCCAGCGTGTTGTCAGAGGTGGAGTTCCTCCTGGAGCTGTGTCCCCAAAGAGCATTCTGTGGGGTCTCAGAGACCACCCAGGTGGGAGAAGTGGGCATGGGGGGGATGAGGAGGTGGAGGTGAGTCTACTCACTCAGGCTGGCCCTGCCGGCTGATGAGTCTCGTCTGTACAAAGCCGACCTGGCCGGAGTCCGGGTGCTGGCCAAGGCACCAGGCCAGGCCCGGCACCCAGGCTCCCAGGATCTGGATGAGCTCCCCCTTTCGGAAGGTCAGCTCCTCGGGGCCGGAGCCCTGACAGTCAGCCAGCGCCATGGCCAGGCCGCCTACTGCGGGCAGGAGAGGTGGTCAGGGCTGGGGCCAGGCCAGAGGAGGGGCTCACTCACAGACACACCTTCCCTCTGTGGGGTGAGAGTGAGGGAGCCCCGAATCCATGCCTACCAGCAACAACAGGAAGTGACCGTACAGGGTCTGTGGAGAGGGCAGCTGACAATCTTCCCAAGGACACGTGGGCTGGAAGGTGGACAGTGACCCCAAGAGGGACACGGTCTAGAATCAACCCCATGGGGCCAGGGGACTGCCCATCCCCAGCCAGGCCCTTCTGTCTAGGCAGCAGGTGTGCAGATGTTGGGACCCCAGCCCCATCCCAGCCTAGGGGCTTCTGATGGACCCGGGTCCAAACAGCCTCACCCTTGAGCCCTCTGGGATGTTGGCAGGGGTCAGCTGCTCCCCCTGTGGCCCCCACCCCAAAACACACGGGGTCCCCAACCTGCCTGGGTGTCATTCTTGGTGAGCATGAGGTGGTCAGGC